AGAAAGTACCCTTGCCAGTCTTGTCATGCCGCAACCCCCTTCCCATAGTCCTCCAGCTCACTAGGAGCTTGGGCACATTCGCACGTGCACTGTGTGCTTCAGGGCACAACCAGCCCAGGGATTCGAACAGGATCAGCATGGAGCCTCCAGCTCTGCAGTCCAGCATGCTACCACCTGCACCACCAGACTGGGCCCAGTGTTTAGCTTTGCCTTAGGTAAAATGGATTTCTTTAACTTTTGTCTTAGCACCCTTATTTATTCTTTGCCTTTGGTGATGTGTACATTGATCCTCTGGAAAAGTTCTGTCATGATGCTCATGAATCTCAGAATCGTCTTGATCCTACCCACATACCTACTGACCTGCAAGCTGCCAGGAAGCCCAGGGTGTCAAATCAATAGCTTCGGTTTCCTGACGTGTGCTATGACATGACGGAGGTCTGGAAGGTGGAAACAGTACAATTCGCAGTTCTCCAAATCCACTTCACACTTCCAGTTGTCTCTCTTCCTCTGTACATGTGCCTCCCTCTGTCTTTAAATCTCTTCAACCTTCTTTCTTCGTGTGTGTGAGACTTGTTTGTCCACTAAAATATAGCCTCTGGTTTGCTCCTGGGCCAGCCCTGAGCCTCTTCCACTCCAGTCTGACTCAGGAGCTCTTCGTCTGTCCCCTCATTGCAGCTGAACCTAACTTGTCACACTGGGTGGCCATTGTCTTTCACTTCTTTTCACCTTCTCTGTTACCACTTGGACTGATAAATTTGAGGACGTGAATTAGATTTTTCATACTCCAACTTTAATTTAACACAGAGTCGGAGAAATATAGTTACTGAATAGTTGGTAATTGCATAAATGGAGGTAAAATTATTAACTTATCAGTGAATAAAATGGATTCTACAATCAATTTATTTGCATCTAAATCCATTACTTGCTAGAACACACACAGACACACATACAGACACATGATTGAACATATCTTAGTGCTTAATTGTGCCATTTACAAAGTCAGACTCTTCACATTTCTGCACCAACACTTACTGTTCTTGAGCAGTTTATGTAACCAGTCTGTGTCTCCAGTTTACTAAAATGTGAAATACAGGGCCAGTAAGTGGCACAGTGGTTAAGGTCCTGGACTTCCAACGGCTGACTCCATGGTTTGAACCCTGGATCCAGTGGCCTGAAAACCATGCCATGTGTATGTGAATGCACACCCACAATATCCGAAGAGGAGAAGGGAGGAGAGGGGTTGTGGTGTGGCCATCCCCTCGGGGAGTTGGGGGGATGATTAGTCACTTTCTCTCTTTCTCCATCTCTCTCCAGCAAGCACATACACCCTATGGAAAAAAATACACACACACACACACACACACACATACACACACACATATATAACAGGAGTAACAATAATCCCTCACCCAGGACGCTGTAGCACACTCATTAAGCACTGTACTTGGATCTCACATGACTGCCTTGGTTTAAACCTGAGCCCCAGTGGCTTAAGAAGTATGCTGGACACCTGTGTGACTGTGCCTAGAAGCCTTTTGAAATGGAGAAATGGAGGAGAAGGAATTGTGCCATGACCATGACCAATGAGGGGTGCTTTCTCTCTCTCTCCCCACCTCTATCCCTCTGGTGAACACATGCATCATCTAACAAAATAAATAAATAAATAAATAAATAAATAAGAGAGAGAGAGAGAGAGAGAGAGAGAGAGAGAGAGACAGAAGACAAAGATAAAAAAAAGTAAAAGGTAACATTGGCAACCCTTATGAAAAGAAAACAGAACCCTAACTCATAAGTTTCTGATGAATAATAAATGAGTTAATCTGTGTAAGACCTTTATAACAGGGCTTAAACAAGGGTTTCACAAATGCTAATTATTCTTTGTTAAGTAATAGCAGAGGTTTGGGATCCAGAGATATGTGACTCAGATAGTTTTACATAATTAACAAATTTGTGTATGAATAAACACATAACTACTCTTAAACCTGCCCTTTCCATATTTCAGTGAAAAGCACTACTTTACTAATGTTCTTAAGGTGGAAACTGGGGGATTGCCCTCGACCCATCTCAGTGTCTCGCTTGCTGCCCCCCCACATTCCTACTTGTGTTGGTCACATCTTCCAAATATCTCTCAGATCTCCCCATGTCTCCACAACCTCCTCGCCACCTGCCCTATTCAAGCCACCCTGGACTTCCTCAGGAGCCTCCACTCCAATCCTGCTGCGTCCAGCCTTGCTTTCGGGTTACATCTCCAGACTGCAGCCAGAGTGGGATTCCAAATGGGCTATTTTTGATTATACCATTTCCCAGACCAAAAAGGAAAAAAAAAAAGAAAGGAAAAATAAAGAGAAAAAAAAAAAAAAAAAACGTTTCTTTCTGAGGTCTTATTTCAAAGTTCTTCCTGAGGTACAGTAACATGTGGCTCGTGCCAACCTCGCCAATACTTTCTTCGTTTCCAACCTGTGCCCCACACTTTGCCCCTAGTTTCAGTTCGCAGGCCGAGCTGGGATTCCTACTGAGTGCAGTCTTTCTGTTGAAGCAATTTCTCCTTCCCCCTTTATTCCCTATGCTTCTGAAACTTTATTTAGGGTCATCAATACTTTTTATGACTGTTAAGAGATCCTGACACCAACAAATGGGGAAGTTTTGCCCTAAGGCAATGACTTGGCAAGGAAAGTCAAGAGTGAACTCACAGCCAAGGCCACATACACGTGCCATGAGTCCCCCCCGGTCAGCTGAATCCCAGACATAAGGGAAGAAACGTTTTAAGCAGAAGAGAAGTATTCATGAAAGCAATGATTCAAGAAAAAGTTACTTTTGTGCTTTCAGTCCTTTTTTCTTTCTTTCTTTCTTTCTTTCTTTCTTTCTTTCTTTCTTTCTTTCTTTCTTTCTTTCTTTCTTTCTTTTTTTTTTAAAGAGAGATGTTTGCTATAGGGCACATGCTCTCACCCGAGAGACAGAGAGAGTCAGATCACGTGGCTCTTTTGCATATTAGCTGTGATCTGTCCTTTCACACTTCAGAGAATAACAAAATCTCTACCTGTTAATGTTGTAAATCTCCAAGTGTTTAAAATACTGACTGACGCAGAGTAAATGCGATACTTACTTTACCTTATAAATGAATGGATTGAGGAACCGGCAGGTGGTTAAGGGTGCTGGACTCCCACATAGCTGACTGTGGGTCCCGTCCCAGAACTGGCGGCTTGCCTTCTCACTTTCTCTCCACTTTCTCTCTCACTCTCTCCCTCTCTGGTCAAATTAAAATAAATAAATTAATTAATTAATAAATTAAATTAAATAATTCTTACAAAAATAAATAAATGAATGGATTGACATATTGATACATTGAAAGAAAGTGGACAGGACATTACATAGCAGAGACTAGATAAGGAGAATACATTAATCAGAAATTGAAAATCAAGCAAAGCTCAGAAAGACACATTAACTTGGGAACCAGCAGTTAGCGTAATGGCTATGTCGCTGGACTCCCACGTAGTAGACGGCAGTTTGCTTCCCGGACCCGGTGGCTTAAAACTCATGCCGGGCGTGTGTGCGTGCGTGCCCAAGATCCCGAGAGGAGAATGGAGGAGAAGGGATTGCGGCGTGACCACCCCCCCCACCACCACGCAGGGTGATTTCTCGCTTTCTGTTTCTCTGTCTCTCTCTGCCTGGTGAGCGCACGCGCCCTATAGCGAAAACCTCTCCAAAAATAAATAAATAAATAAGAAAGACACATTAACTTCAGGGAAAAAAATTGAATGCCAAAGAAAAACTGATCAAATTATAAGGTTTAACTGTTGCTAGGATTTACACAATAATAGCAAAGTAAATACAAAACATTAACTCACCCCAAATTATGACATAGCCAGTAGCGTTGGAGCTAGAATACAGGAAATGTGAGTAGATTGGTGGCATGGGGCATGTACGTGAAAATGCTATGTCTTCCTATTTCAGAATAGGATTGCAATAAAATGCCTATAACTGGGAAAAATAGAAAGCCACAGTATATGTTATTTAACAATATGAAAGTAAAACCAAGAGAGTCCATTCATATTGGAGTACATTACTTTTTCTTAAAAATGAGCCTTGTATAACTATATGTCTCTTTAAAATTTGTGTGTGTGTATGTGTATAAAATGTTAAATATATTAAAAATGCAGTGGAGAAAAGAAACATGATGAATCAAGAAGAGAAAATGAAAAATAGGTGGAGAGGAAATGGATATACTAGAAAAAAGACACAGAAATTTAAAACAAGTCCCAATAGTATTCACAGAAATAGTTTCAGGTTTAGTCTGCCATATAGAAAG